TTAACCAGGAAAAAGTCAAAACTGGAGATATGGTAGACCACCAGCCTATGAATGAAAAAGTTGAAAGCAAAATGCCCTGAGTTCAAACCCTAGTACCAGCATTATAAAGAAAAGCAGGCAAATTTCCTCCAGCAATTCTACTTTCCATAGAAACATAGGCAATCACAGTGAGAACTGTGTGTTATATTTCCTCACATCACCCCTTCTCCTCCCAGCAGGTTCTTTGGCAAGGGGCTGGCCTTTAGAGACATTTCTGTAGCTACTTAGCTCCTTGCCCTTGGTCCTGCAATACGTGGATTTTAGGAAATCATAGAAAAGTATGAGTGAGAATGTGGTGACTCAGGGTTCTTATCACCTCAGCCAGGTCTGAGAATTAAGTGCTGCTAAGAAGATGCACACAGCCCTATAGATATACATTCAATTTTAACAGAATGACAGATGTCCTTCCCCCATCCAGCCAATCTAGTAGAGGATGAAGCACCATTCAGTTAAGCATTCGAATGCCCCCAAAATGACTGGAAGACGCCCCTGGAGAGCCACATGCAAGACAGTACTGTCTGTGAAGCCTTTCTTTCTCATACACAAAGAAGTTCAATAGGTCCACTATTCTCTAGGACTGTCATTAGCATATTCTCCCTTAGTATAGACAGAGCCTCCTGGGGTCCATGAATATCCAGTCAGATCTCTCATTACCCTTCCCCATTTGTATTTTACAGACAAAAAATTACACCAAAGGAAATCAAGATGCCTCCTAAACAACACTGTCAGCAAAGGAACCGAGAATGGACCAACATGCCCTACAGCAAGAAAGTAAGTATCTCTGATTTCTGCAAATTATCACACACAGAGACCAATCATCATTAATAAAGAGCCACAGTGGTCTTCCTTCCACACCCAGAATCAATCTGAATGAAGACAAGATCTTGCCTATCCTATGGAACCAAGTAGGTCTCAACCAATGGCATCACAGTCTACCAGACACTATGTGACAGGCTTTAAGCAATCTTTGCAAAAGAGTAGTACCAATAAGCCAAAGGACTTTCTGAGAACTATTACAGGACCAGCCCTGACTGTGTTAAATATGAACTTGACTCACATTTAAAAAAGGGGGGGGAGAGGGGCGGGGAGAATGGCACCAGTGGCTCTCACCTGTAATCCTAGCTACTCAGGGAGCTGAGATGTAAAAAATCACAGTTCAAAGCCCAGGAAGGGAAGTCCATGAGACTCTGATCTCCAATTAACCACCAGAAAACTAGAAATGGCACTACATCACAAAGTGGTAGAATGCTATCCTTGAGCAAGAAAGCTCAGGGACAGTACTCAGGCCCTGAGTTCAAGTCCCACGACCTACAACAACAACGGCAAAAACACATTAATTCCAGATACTATAAGGAAAGAGAAGAAAAGAATTATGTTTATGAGAACAAATTTAATTTTGGAGGAGCCATCTTTTTACTGGCATATATTATACAATACATAGTAAGAGTTTCATCATGACATTTCATACATGAATATAATATACTTCTGTGATGATCCCCCCAAAAGAATATAAAATGTAAAATTAGAAACTACAGAACAAAATTATTGATTTTTAAGAATAGGGCAAAACTGGAAAGGCAGGCTCTCCCTGTGGAAAACAAAATATAACAATAACTCAGGCAAGTAAGTCATTGAAAGGAGAAATTCCAAAGATAAAGACTTGAAGTAAATTAGTGAGGTAAACGTCGGGTTACTGGAATTCAGAAAGTAGTAGTAAAACAATCAGTATCTGCCATAGGCACTATCCAAGCCAGAGGAGAGCAGAAAGCTGCCCCTTTTACTATAACTACTAGGTTCGAGAAAACAGAAACACTGGCCCCCAAACAAGGAATTGCCCATTGCTTAAAGGTCAAGAAATTGTTACAGGGATATTTGTGGTTTTAATTGTTTCAGGAATGTTTTTGATTTATGCACGTGCAAAGTAACTGCCAAGTTCTGTTTCTGTGTGCCAGCTTGCTTGCATCTTCTCTAATTTTTTGCCTTTATAAACCCTGAGCTATTTGAGTTCGAGGCTTACTCCCAAGTTGACTTAGTCCTGGCTGGTCAATTGAATAAACTCCAGCTTTTAAGCTACTGGTCAGCATCCGTGACTTTGTCCAAGGGGGGTCAGTCCACTTCACTTTGATCATATTTACCTCCTCCAACCAATCAAGTTAACATGGTTACCAAAATGTCCAAGAGCTAAACAAAAGGTCCAGTTGTTATTTAAACGTTAGTCTATCAAAGGATTGTGTGTTTCTGTTTGAAAAACAACAAAGTGAAGGGGCAAAAAAAAATCAATGTACCTACACCAACAAGTAGCCTCTGAATGCCAAATACGTACCACAGAAACCAGGGAAAAATTAACCAGAAAACAGAATAGTAAAAGGGGAAGCAAGAAGCCAAGGACCATCCACAAACAGAAGTTAGAGGGCAAAAAATATGGAAACATATGGAAGACCCCTGTAGTAACTTAGAGAGAGTTAAACACTGTAAAAAGGAAGGACATGCTAAGCTATCACTAAAGGTTTTCACTGCACATTATAACTAAAATAACATTGAATTTCTCTGGTCAACTCTGCATGAGAAGTTTCTAATAAGCAACATCATTGTTGCTTACCAATATCGCAAGGGAAGGGAAAGAGGAAGTTGTCCACTATTAACAGGAATCCTAGGCACAAATGTATAAACAGGCATCTGGGGAGTTAAAGTAAATTAAAATATAGTTTCAAATGACCTTTCTTTGGTATACCCAGGCACATGTGATCATGTAGCCAGTAACCATTTCTAGGCACATACTATGAAGATGAACAACATTGTGATTACATAGTTCTAAGCAGTCAACCTATCAACAAACAAATCTACAGGTAAATGGCAGAGTACACCTGATAACCAAAGTGTAGTTTAAAATGAAATGTATAACAAAAGAATTTCATATCTCCAGAGAACATTGGGGGGGGGGGGCTCAGTCTCCTCCACCATGCTTAAAGAATTACATTATATTCTCCCATCAGCCTTCTGAGAGATGCTAAAGTGTGCAGCAATTTTCCAGGTAAGGAATGGATAACAAAACAAGGCTTAAGATGAAGTACAAATCAAGGACCCAAGAGCTGGGTGTGGTAGATCATGTTGCTAAGTCCACCACTAGGAGACTGAAGCAGGAAGGTTGTAAATTTAGGCCAACCTGGGTTACAGAAATGTGTGTGTGTGTGTGTAAAAGAAGAGGGTAATTTATAGGAAAAAAAAGTGATGCTGTATAGAAAGAGAAACGGGTGAGGAGCCGGGAAGACACGGTGGGCAGAAGGAGGGATCGTATGCAATTCCAATGTGCTAAGGCTAGCAGATTCCAGAAGCAATGCAGAGCCCAGGACCATCCGATTGGAGAGGTAAGGTAAATGACCACAGGTTACTAGTAGGCCACTGAAAAAGAAACTGGAGGAGTGAAGCTGAAGCTCTGGAAAGAAAATAGATCTGGAAGACTCCTCTAGCCATTAGAAACAAATGACAGGATGAGAATAGATGAGACTCCCAGGAAAGAGGGATAGACCAAAGGAAAAATAAATAGTCCTTCACAGATGCTTACTACAGAAGCCAACAGCTCTGAAACAGCTTTTTGTCAGGGTGACTAACATTTGAGGCATGAGATCAAAAGAAGGTTTAGACTCTAGCACCCCACGGAATGCTATTTGGTACCCCCTGAAAACCCACTAGGTCTCAAACTTTGGTCTCCTAGTCTATAACCTGTTAATGAAACCTATTAAATGAAAGCTATCTCTTCTTTGCACTGCCTCTTCAGATGACCATTAGTCCAACTGTCCATGTTCCCTCAGGGACATCTAGCAGGGCAAAAACTCCAAAGTAAACTAAATAATGTCCTCCTAAACCCAGAAACCGGCTAGCCCCTAGAATTCTGCTGGCCATGAGAGAAGTGCAGATAATGGTACAGACTAGGCCCCCTTCTTTGACATCTGCTTTAAAATCTGCTTAGAACAATTCTAAGGTATCAGCTAAAGGTATTTGCTGAAGAACATTTTAGAAAAGGCAACATCTTGAAATAAACATCATGAGTTCAACCTGGGTATAATAAGCTACAATCTCCACTGGACATTTGTCAGTTTTATTTACAGCACACACCACTCAGATTCACTCTAGCTGCAAAGAGACAGAAAGAGAGAGAGAGAGAGAGAGAGAGAGAGAGAGAGAGAGAGAGAGTGCTAATGGGAAAAATTTCCTTTCTAAACCTATGACTATATACATGTTAATTATAAATATGCAGTGTAATTTTTAAAATCAAACTGAATCAAATTAATGGGTACATTTTGCTAGGTTTCACATCATAATGAAATATATAGTGAAAATAAATAAAGCTCTGGGACAATGTAATAAATACACTCACCCATACTTAGCATTTTAAAAAATCTTTAGCCTAGAATGGAGAATTTGTCAGGTAATCATTAACTTACTTTTTTTTTTAAAGCAGACAAAAAGGACCACGGATCTTTTATGAGGAAAGAATTGTATCCCACAGATACTTACACAACCATAACAAAACATAAGTTTTTCATTTTCATGATTTCAAACTGTTTGAAACAAGGGCTTGAAAGTATGGCTCAAAATGGAAGAGCATCTGCCCACAGAGTTTCCACCCCAATGCTGCCCCCTAGTGCTACGGAGGAGAACAGGACACTGAATTCCCTTTGTGTAAAATCCAAAAGATACCTAAGGCTATTAACCTATTCAGGATTTAAACTTTCACAAAAACCTTCTCTCTGGTCTTTCAATAAAGTTGGTAGAAAACTAAAATCACTGAGTTCCACATTGTTTCCTCACCCAACACACTAAGATAACCCAAAGACTAATGCAATTACTGAACTAATCACAAATGGGATATCCTCTGAATAGCTTATCCTGAGTATATAAGAACTATTGTCCTGTTTTTCCTATGGGTTTCATTTCCTCTGGGTGGGCCAGGTGTCGCTTACCTTCTTGGCTCTTTGGGCTATGTCTGGTGTTCTTGTAAGCAGCTTCTCAATCAAGTACTCTCTGTTCTGCAAAACAAATGATCCAAACAGTTTTAACACCAAATAAGATACATGTAAATTCATAGAGATTTCAAAATAGCAGATTTACTTGGTTTTTTTAAGCATGTTACCTTGGCTTTCTGGAAGAATTTGCATTTTAAAAGTTCTGCTGCTGTGGGCCTGAAAGATCAATAATAAATTAGAGTTGAAACAATGACCACTTAATAAATACACTGCCTTGATGATATAACTTAACCTTAGAGTACTTCTGGAAGAACAGAAACAAAGTTAATCATGAACTGGCACCAAATAAAGCAGTGCCAATTTTCCAGTCCTTTCTAAACACCTCTACTACAAAAACACATGAACTTCTGTAATTTTAAGTGCTTGGGCATGATCAATTTTCCATCCTTTAGTGTTACACTTCACTAAATAAATTCAGTATTTCCAGAAGGTGGCAGATTGGCCTGTCTACAAGCTAAATTCCTGTACTTACTAAGAAATCATATAGGCTAGAACATGACTCTGTCAGAGTAACTACAATCCACTGTGCTGTGTGATTTCCCGGGGGGCCCACAGATTCCCTATCTAACTCTGTCTGCCCAGTATGTAATGCAAGATGTGTTAATAGGCTATTGTTACATAGTTCAGTGAAGGTAAACGTAATGGTTACTGATAAAATGCAAATTCATTTAAAAGCATTACTGGATAGATCTGATTGTTACCTATAATATCCCAGAACTTTCACCTATATTTCTTCTAAACTCAAAGTTAGATCTGGAGGCTTGATTAGGTTTCATCAAGTATTTGAGTGTTTATACATTAGACAAACAAGTTTCAGATTTCAGAGCACTTCAGTTTTTTATATTTTCAACTAGAAAATATCTGCAAATATTCCAAAATCCCAAACTCTGAAATCCAAAATATTTCTATAGCCAAGCTCTACAGATTTGGGATCTTCATGTTATGTTTCACAGACAGTATCACACACTTCTGACAGCAACAACTCAGAAGCAAGAACTGACAGGCTATTCCACTGTTACTGCTGAGTTTAACCAGCTGGTCCAAGGTCTCTACTGTACAGCATGTTTTCCCTACTGAAATTAGCAAGTATTCTGTTGGGTAGTACTTTGGCATGGTACTACTATCATGTTCCTGAAAATCTTTCCCCTAAAGGTTTAGCATCTTTGCCTTAAACAATTACTTCAGAAGAGGTTGAAGAATGATGATTTTCTGGTTTCAGCAATCCTCTGTTTAACTGACATTCTTCTACAAATAACAGCCCTCTTGCTGTGTCTCGTATCTATCATCCTAGCTATTTAAGAGGCTGAGATCTGTGAATCCAGACCAACTCAGGCAGAAAATTCCCTAAGACTCCGTCTCTAATTAACCAGCAAAAAGCTTGTCGGGATGAATGGCTCAAATGGTACAATGAGAGCCAAGTAAGCAAGCCCAGTGAGTATGAGATCTTGAGTTCAAACCCCAGACACTACCCCCACCCCCTAAAAAAGATCTAAAGTAAAATGTAGCTTATTTCATCAATAGTTTCTTTTTTAACAAGTTAGGCAACAGCACAAACATGTTCATTGCAGTACTATTCACCATAGCCAAGATATATAGTCAGTCCAGATGCTACTCAATGGACAGATTGAGAAAATCTGGTATATACACACATTGCATATGTCTACAGGGGGCATAAACTGTATTTCTAGGCAAAGAAAATTTCTATTTAAGTTGCTATTGTTTTCCTCAAGTTTCAAGTTCCCTTACCGGCTACAGGTTCTTAACAACCCTGAGTCTACATAACCACTACAATAAACAGCTGTTAATTGCTAATTGCTTTGAATAAATAAGAGTCTAAACAACAGGTGGGCTATATCCTTTGGTAAGCTCATTAAGTTCATGAATTTGCACTTGATTAAAAAGGCAAAGAGCTTAAAGATGAAAAAGGGATCTAACTATTTCTACATTATTCAACACTATCATTTTAATATATATTTTTTTCTAATTAGCAGCAATGTTTTGGCCTCCAGCTATTCCAAATTCCTCCTTTCATTCTCTCAGTGTTCACTGAGCACCTACTGTTTGTAGACAGAGTTTGCTAAATGCTGGGCATATCACACGGAATAGGACAGATGGAAACAGTACACCACCAACCACCCACAGACTAGCCTGCTGTCGGGCTCTAAAATGAGCAATACACTGAAACCTTGGAATTGTATCTGGATGGAGGGAGTGAGACAGGCTACCAAGAGACCATGGTATGGAACCATGCAAACAAGCAGGCTTTGGCGTCAAACTTGGCATGAAATCAAATTTATAAAACAAGAAGCTAAGCAGGGCACCAGTGGCTCATGCCTATAATCCTAGCTGTTCAGGGGGCCGAGATCTGATGATCACATTTCAAAGCCACCCCAGACACTCCAATAAACTACTCAGGAAAAGCTAGAAGTGGTCCAAGTGGTAGAGTACTAGCCTTGAGCATGGAGAGATTCAGGGACAGAGCCTAGTCCCTGAGTTCAAGCCCCAGAACTAGCAATTTTTTTAAAGAAGCTGGTACAAGTACTTAGAAGCTGAGATCAACCTGGGCAAAACAGTAAGACCACATCTTTAAAAAAAATTTATGGAGATGATTAAGAAACTCAAGGACAATGTTTTATGTAAAGCCTGTATAGCTTCATTTCTGGTTAATACAAATAAGCAGGCTCCCAGTTAGTATCTCAGCCACTTCTAATTCTAATCCATCATTTACAATGCTACCCAAGATAATGTCTAAACAAAAACAAACAAAAAACACCTGATCCCTTTTCTATCCACTTTCAGAGATTTTGTATTTCAGAGATACAAGCAAGCTGTTCAGATTCTAACTCTTCCAGTTTAACCACCTTTGTAGTGCCCACCCCCCTTTCTTCCTTCCCTGCTCCTCTTACTCTTTCTTTCTCTCTTTTTTTTAATTGGTCATGGGGCTTGAACTTTGGGCTTGGGTGCTGTCCCTGTGCTCTTCAGTTCAAGGCGAGTACTCCACCACTTGAGCCACAGCGCCACTTCCAACTCTTTCTCTTATCTCCAGCTCTTTCATGAAAGATCACACACTGCTTTTCTGGGTCCAAAATCTCTCATAACCAACTGGCACACCTTGCTCATCAGTCAAGAAGCAATTAGATGCCATCATCTTCAAGACACCCCTCTCAGCTCCTACTAAGGGAATTCATTGCTCCCAACTTGGTGCTCACACACTGTTCTACCCACATTTCCATAATTATCAGTATCTATGTCCTTCCTGCCTCCACTTCACTGAATTAAGTGCCTTTCTAGGTCAGAAACCATATACTATTCATTTTTATACTCTGAATGTCTAAAAAAGAACAGAAAGAACTGCTATAGTCTAAAATAGAACAGAAAGAATTGCTACAGCTCACTTTCATACCATTATCTAACATAAGGTGAAAGTAATGCTATTGGACACTTGGACACAGTCCTACAACCCAGGCATCTACGTGTACTCAACACCAAAGACAAAGTATCCATTCAATAGAGAGAGAGCAGGGGCAGAGAAAAGACGCAATGAAAATAAGACTCAACTAGAGAAACAAAGAGTGAGAACAGTAAAGGTGCTAAGGGAAGACAAAATGCTTCCCTCTCTCTGCTACATGCCCCACGACCGCCATGCTCTTTCTATACATCCAGGGTCAAGTATAGAGCCAAAGTAGACAAAGACTGAGAAGCGATGGATGTCCTTTTGAATTACAGGGCTCAGAAAATGCTTTCTGTTCCCAGCAAGGTCATTTCCATGGTGACCAAAAATGTAAAAGGGAAAAGCATGCTACAGAGAAAACCTCTTTCTCTTTCTCTACACTCCATTTCACCCTTAGCCTTCTTCATACATACAAAACTACCATGATATAAAAAGTAGTTTAAAAAACCCCTTCCTTTTTTTCATAGGTTTAAATATTAAAGCTATAGGTCCTTCCACCTCTACACAGAATAACTCCATTCTAGGTCACTGGTTCTTTTTTGTGTGTTTCAGTCAATGTGTTCACAGCTTTGGTGTAAAATCCCACATGTACCAAACTATATCCATGATAAAACATGGGAAATAGAAGCCGAAAGAAATAAGAAACAAACAAAGAAAAGGAAGTGACAGGAAGTATGAAAAAGAAGAGATGCCACTAGGAGATACTAGGATTGCAGGCTCCCAAGCTGCAATCCTAGCTACAGATGACAAAAGGCTAAGAACTGGAGGATCTAGCCAGGCAAACTAGTTCACTAGATTCCATCTCCAAGAAAACCAGCAAGCAAGCTGAGGTGTGTAATCATCTTAAGGCACAAGATCTTGAGTTCAAACTCTTGTGACCATGTACATGCACGCACACACACACACACACACACACACACACACACACACACACACACACACACACACACACACACACACAAAGCAGAGCTGCCTACTGCCTATTTGATCATAAGGGTGTTTTTTCCCCCTCATTTTGGTTTGATCTATTGTTTCTTTTCATTTTATGCCATAGTAACTACCTGGAAGCATCAATGTTGCCAGCCTTCATAGCCATGTCTTACATGGTTGAATTGCTTGGACAATCATCAAGCAATATAATTCACATTTTAACTAGAAATGCTATTTTACAAGAAAGGTTAAAGTGTTACTGGCAACACAAACAATGGGGCAGGGTTTCAATGATGATCCAATTCTTAATCCTCAAAAACAATGGACTACTCTGCAACTACCAACATTCTCAGAAGAAAATCTCTTAGTTCAGTTAATACATATGGATGATTCAAAGTCCACTAAGACTTAACATAATTCTCAAAGGATTAGGATACTTATGACACAGTTTAAATAGTTCTAACAGCTTGCATTCATACTTGCATTACTAAATTCTACCACATCACTGACCTCAAGCAGAACTGCTTTTCTCACCTTTACATCCCCACAAAAAGTCTTACTTATTTTGATGGATTATGCAAGATCCATTCCCTTGATGTTCAGAGAAAATTGTGTGTTTTTTAATAGGTTCAATCCATAGGAAGAATATAATTTTTAAGGTCAAGGCACATTTTAAAAAAATAGCAAGATGTTCTGCTATGTACATATCAGCAATTCATTGTCTTTGCTAATGCAAATGAAAAATCTCTATAAGGTAAAGAGTCCCAATTGCTAGCTCTCTGAGAAGAAAAGTCCAAGGGGCTCTCAGGGTATCAAAAAGAGAAAATCCCACATGAATATAACAAAGCAATAAAGAATATTGAATTCAGAAACATTACTTGAATGAGGAGGGGTGGGGTCAAGGGGAAAGAGGTAGAGGAATAAAGAGGAGAAGGAGGAGAGGATGCAGTCAAGAATTCAATGTTTATCCTACAAAATTAAGAAGAGTGAGAAAAGGGGGATGTAGGGGAGAGGTGGATGAGCAAGTTGAAAGGGGTGAACAAGATGTATTCATAAACTACGTTGTTAAATGGAAATTCCTTATACAGCTACTTAAAGATAATTTTAAAATATATCAAATGACACACAAAAGGCAGTCTCTTCATAGTAAGCCTGAGCGTAAATGCACAGAGTCAATCAGCCCTAGTTATTATTCTGCTGTAGTGTGATTGCATTCACTTCCATACCAGGGCTTTTGGACCAATGAACTGCTTTCAGAGCACAGGTCCACAGATCTCAGATCTGCCTTCAGGCAACAGAGCTCAATAAAAATTATCCAAAGCTTTCCATTAATTCCTCAACCATCTTGACTCTTCTTTCGGGAACTTCAAATCACTCTCAAATTGCCAAATCCAAATTAACTCTAAGTATTCAAGAGATAGATAGTACTGAGAATGTAAGTCAAACCAAAGCCTGAATTTAAACATGAGCAATTAAAATCTTTCTTCTACTTAAAAATTCCTTAAGAATTTATAGGCATGGGCTGGGAAGGTGGCTCAGTAGTACAGTGCTTGCCTTGGATGCTTGAGGCCCTGGGTTCGATTTCTCAGCACCACATAAGCAGAAAAAAAAAATCCAGAAGTGGCACTGTGGCTCAAGTGGTAGAGCGCTAGCCTTGAGGTGAAGAGCTGAGGGACAGCGCTCAGGCCTAGAGTTCAGGCCCTATGACCGGAACAAAAAAAAAAAAAAGAATTTATAGCAAAAGACAACAAGTGCACACAGAGTAGTAAGTGCTACAAAAGATAACCACCTGCATATTGTAACTATTACATAAAGTGTCATTAGCCAAGGAAGAAAGGCAAATAAATGAATGGCAACCTCAATTTCTCAAGCACAGAAGGACTCCCCAGGAACTATGCTATTTGATTTAAGTGCACAGTCTCATTCTTTCCTGGAAGCAGTCCTGTGAAGGAGATATTATTAACCCATTTCACAGACAAGGGTATTAAATCTAGAGGCAATAATATATCTCTGCAATATACAGTTGTATCTTTTAATCTCTGTTTTATCCAGTTGTATCTTTACAGTTATATCTAACTGTAAAGAGATACAGCAATTGAATAACTACAGAAAGCAGGTACAAAGAAGACAGAGCAAGAAGTCTACAACAGCATGACCAAAGGCCAAGGTGCCTGAAAACTTTTGGAATATACACAGTTTCAGAATTGTGCCATGCAATTAAATGGTAACATATGTTTAGTTACATATCCATATAAAAATAACATCTCGGGCTGGGAAGGTGGCTCAGTGGTAGAGTGCTTGCCTTGCATGCATGAGGCCCTGGGTTCATTTCCTCAATACCACATAAAAAGTAAAAGCCAGAAGTGGCACTGTGGCTCAAGTGGTAGAGCGCTAGCCTTGAGCTGAAGAGCCAAGGGACAGCACTCAGGCCCAGAGTTCAGGCCCCACGACTGACAAAAAAAAAAATCTCATCTAAAAAATAGCAATGTTACTTTTATCTATTCTCATACTTCATAAATCACTTTTCTGATATTTTTTCCTCAAATGCCTGATATATGTATTAATATGTGATATTAATATCCACCTTTTCGTTAAAAGAAAGAGCCATCTGGTAAGTTAACACAATCATTGTCTAAAACTGTTTAAAATGCATACTTGTGAATTAGATTTAAAAGAAAATACCTAAAAGGAGGCCTTAAACTACTAATGCTCTGTGCTTAATCATATTATTAGTTATTGTTATTTACATGAGGAAAAGACTTCATGAAAATCATCTTTTCTTAACAAGGTAGATTTGTGTGACATTATTCATCACAACCACTAGGTGGGATCTCAACTAATCCAAGAATTTCAAAGATTCAGGAATAACCTACAACTAAGTAGAAAGACAACATTTCTTTCACTGGGCTATAAAGGATCAAACTCTGTCTTCTTGGTGATGTCCAAATGTTACCTTTAACAATGATGCCAAATACAAGGGAAAGAAAAGCAAAACATTAGAGAACAAAATCAGAATCTAAAAGCATTATCAGCTTATAGAGAGTAAAGAAATGACCTCAAGGAAACATTGGAGGAAAAAATAAGTTCCATAAATTAAACAAAAAGGACAACTGAAATATATGGTGCATTGAAATAAATAGTGCACTAAAATAGTGAATTGAAATTATTTACAATCTGATTAGTAGCACATAAACATTGTACCTATCAAAGAAACACCATGTAATGTGTTCAATCTAGATGGATAGCCTTCTCAAACAGCAATTTACTATGGAAAGTTTAAAAGACTTTAACAAATTTCACAGAGAAATTAAGATAAAAATAAAAGAATCAGTTCTAACAAGAAATTCCATCCCTGAAAAAGAAACTTTCAAAAGTCCACTTTTATGTTAATTTTTTTTTTTTAAAGCTATGTATAGCTGGGTGCAGGTGGCTTAGACCTGTAATCCTAGCTCCAGGAGACAGAGATGTAAGTTGTGGTTCAAAGCCAGCCTGGGTAGGAAAGTCCATGCAACTCTTATCTCCAAAAAGAAACAGAAGTCGAGCTGTAGCTCAAAGTGGTAGGTACAGTACTTATGAAGGGACAGTACTCAGGCCTTGAGTTCAAACTCCACAATGACCACCACCAAAGTAATCATGTGTGTGTGTGTGTGTGTGTGTGTGTGTGTGTGTGTGTGTGTGTGTGTGTGTGTGTGTTGCACTTGGGAGGACAAAGACCTTTTCAGGTCTATGCTAGGGTATGCCACACACACAAGCAAGGACCCACAAAAGGACCTTACCAAGGTAAGCCCCGTGTGTGAGTCACATCATTAATGTTCTCCTTTAAGTGCTAAAAAAAAAAATAGATAAATAAATACTAGTCTCCACTATCAGTACTGAGGACATTTCAAAGTCACAGAGCTACAGAGCCACTTCAAACAACAGAGACATTTACCATACAGGACAATAACACAAAAACAAAGAAAAAAACACTAAAGTTAATTTAAAGCCATTTGCTTCTGTTTATATGATTAATCTTTCTAGGTAAAAATCTCCTTAATCTTCTTTCCTGATAATCTTTTAAATGCATAACCAACTTGTTCTGCAACTAAAAGGAAGCTCATGCAAAATTCAGTAGCTCTGCCTGGTTCAGACTGGCGCTAGCCAGATGTTCAAGTCCTGCGAGGTCAGCTCAACCTACAGAGAGCAGAATATTAGCTCAGCTTCTGAATGCAGCACTGCCAGTTTCTTCTGAGTTCTATTTTACTTCATTTCCTCAGATGACAGAGCCCACACATAACAGGCACAGTGAAGACTTATTAAGAATTTTGATCTTCCTCCCCCTTTCCTCCACCTGCTTCCCTCCCCCTTGAAGCCATGTTGTATTCTGCTAACAGGATGTGAATCAGGAGATCAGAGAAGGGTTTCTCCTGGAACTAAAAGTACCTTCCCAGTGTTCTCACATAAACTTTCCCCTCCACAAAAACAGCTTTGTCAGGACTCAAACCAGGTCACTAGCTCCTCCACTAACATTGACATACCTTTTGGAAGGATCTTTCTGAAGACACAGTGAAAGTAATTTTCGAAAGGACTTGCCATACTTTTTCATCGTTTCTTTATCCTCTACGCCAGTTTCTAAAGTAGGTGGATCATTTTGCAAGGTCAACATTAACACCTGCAGCATTAAGAAACATGAAGACAGAATCTCAGTTCACCTATTTGCTACCCTGATATTTGTAGTTCTGTACAAACCTATCAGAGGCCCTCCTTCACTAGGTTTTCCATTATTTAACTTTCCAAAAAAATGTGTACTCAAAATATTCATGTCACTTTGGAAATCTATTACTCTTTAACCTTTTTTTGTTATTCCATTGTCAGTACTTATAAAATTTGCTCTCTGTGTTAAGAATGAGCTCCCAAAGCAACCAGGGCAGAGCTTTCCGGGACCTGGCTCTCCCAGTGCCGCACGCACACAGCTCTAGCACAGAAAGAGGGTGGTGGGTGGCAAAAAGAAAAAGTGACAGTCATTTGTGCAGGCCATTCAAAATGAAGGAACTAACTGTATGCAGGGTTTCTAAAATATATTACCAACCCTAAAAATAAAACCACATCACAGGAGGTAACATGATGTCCTTTGAAAGAGAAAGAGAGAGAAAGAGAGAGAGAGAGAACATACAGAGAATTTTGCTGAAAAACAGCTTGGCAGATAGCCAGGAGTTGTGAAGATCCATAATCAGATCAAAGGCCATGCTGCTTTGAGAGGAAGATAAAATAAAATAAAATTTCAAATAAAAAAAGGTAAAAAATAAACATGCTATTTTACAATAACATTAAAATTACTTGCTTTAATAAGAAAATAGAATGTGCAACAATTGATCCACAAAGTAAAATAAATGCATAGATCAACCTTAATTTATGCAAATGCTATACATGTCAAGGCTCTTTTCAAACACTTTCAGATGTCTGAATACATGCAGGATGAAAGTGACAGTTTATTGTTCACAGAGGATAATGGCAAAAAGGACAACATGAAGGGCTGGGAACTCTGGAAAAAAGTTCTACTGGATTTCAGACTGGGATTAGCAAGTTCTCATAAGATTCAGCTAGGAAATAGTATTTGTTTTTCCTGTTTTAAAAAAACCCAAACAGGAAAAACAAAAGAATAGAAAATAAAAACACTGAGTAAAATACAAAGTCCTCAGAGTAACTTCAGTTCTCAGAAGTAAGAAAAATAATTTAGAATGCAAGAGTGAAGGATAACAAAAATCTGGAAATAGTACCCAACATATACGCTGCAGACTAAAAACATCATGACTCACTCACATGAGATGAGCCACCAACATGACACTGTGAGGTCAGGGGAGATAATACTGTAGGGCATTAAAAATTAAAAATAAAAGTCCTGAGGCTCTGTGAGATCCATCTGAGAAGATGATGTCACTAAATCTGTTCTTTGCTATTCTTTGGGGACTAGAATTGTTCTGCTCTCAAGAGTCATGACCAGCATCTGTCAGAGCTCTCAACTTCTATCAACCAATCTAATCACATTCTTCCCTGAACTCTAGCTAAGAACGTAAATCCAGCTTCAAAGCTGGGAAATGCCCATTCTGTTCACTGAGAAAATTAGGCAGTATTCAACTTGGCTGCATTCCTCCATTAATTCTCTGCATGTCTAAGAGAAAAATGAGTAAATTCAAGAGAATTAGACAATCAATGCCACCCAATCAAATTTCAAACCCCCACATATTATTTCCAACAGTAATTACTTTCATAGGAGGATATTTGTGATAAGGTGCTGCTCCTGTTGCTAATTCAATGGCAGTTATCCCAAAACTCCACATATCAGCCTTGAAGTCATAGCCTCTCACCTAAAAAAGAAAAACAGCAAAAGAAACACACAATGATACAGCAGCTATATTACATATCTTATTATATCAGGAAGATAGACCTGTTTATAAATAACTTTCATATTAACTTGCTAAAGGCTTTACACAATTCACTCTACTAAAATTGACTACAATGAAATTTTAATGTGCTATGGGTATGTGTAATAATACTATAACAATCAAGGTAACCTTTTTTTTTTACCTGTTCCATGACTTCAGGGGCCATCCAACATGGGGTGCCAACAAATGTTTTTCTTACTTTATTCCGTGTAACATCACCTCCTGTTGCTAAGAATGCACTTACCCCAAAATCTGAAAGGGAAAAGAAAAATCAACCTTTTTTTTTATATAAGACATTGCTTATAAATTCTGTCTCTTGGAACGTATCTCTTCCTGGTGAGCTTTAGGATGATAATGAATTCTTGCAAACATTCATGGAGCTCTCAGACCTAGGCTAGGCTGCTTTTCCCATCTGCCATGTCTGACATGGCAGAGAAAATGACTTCGCAGGTACCGAATAGGTCAGCAAGCCCATCGACCCAAAAGCTCACTATACCAAATTATATTTCCACTAAATAAATGCCAAAAGTCATAATTAATCATAAAGGATTAAGATACCAATGAAAAGTTAAACACATTCTTAAAACCCTGAAAATAAAATTTCATCTTTAGCCAAGATTCATTTTAGAAAATCACTTGTAAGAATACCACTGGGGAAAGTACAAGTTGTACACAGTATAGCTCCTTTTTTTGTATATATTCTTATGATTTTCTAGCTTCTTTAATTCAAGTTGCCAATGTTTACAGACTTATTTTTAAAAGATGAAAAACATTCATCTTTCATGTTCCCATATCCTCGACTAAACAGTGCTTACTAACGCCTTAGCTAAAATCATAATGGCAAACCCATAAACCCAGTGCACAAAGTCACCAGGCCTAGGTTTGTGCATGTTCAGCTACCCACACAAAAGAAAAGCTTTGTAAGCAACAACTCTCTTTTCCCTATGTTATTTTCCTGAATTTCCTAAAAACAGATGGAATGGTTTATAGAACTTAAATAATATTCCTCCCAATAACTATTACTTAAAAATAAAATAGTAATTAAAATAATTACTCTTCTTATATATTAAAAATTATGTAGGAGGATTAAACATGCTACATAAGCCCATTGGAAAGAATATCTCTCCATGTAACAGTAGAGACTACCAGCTGATTACTAACACATGCAATCCTACTTGTATTTTTGCATAAAGATTACCTACCAATGGTTAATCTATTAAAGTAGCAGTTATTCAAAACTAGTATACTTGCTTGTAACTTAAGTCAAAAGACTCCTAGAAAGCCGGGCGCTGGTGGCTCACGCCTGTAATCCTAGCTACTCAGGAGGCTAAGATCTGAGGATCGAGGTTCAAAGCCAGCCCGGGCAGGAGAGACCGTGAGACTCCTATCTCCAATAAACCACCAGAAAACCAGAAGTGGCGCTGTAGCTCAAGTGGTAGAGCACTCGCCTTGAGCTGAAGAGCTGAGGGACAGCGCCCAGGCCCAGAGTTCAAGCCCCACGACCGACCAAAAAAAAAAAGACTCCTAGATAGTGAACTGGTAGATATTAATTAAAAGGGTAGTCAACACTTTCAAATAATGCATAAACTACGCAGTCTGGTTCCTGAAAGTTAGTCTGATATTCTTTACTAGTTTTCTTTGTTGACTATCAGAATGACAGTAATTACCAAAGAATAACTCAAGTACAAACCAAGGTCAATATACAAACTTTTAGCCTGGATTTTAAGTTATGCAACTGTATGTCTTAATTACACTGCAACTACTTCCCTACATGAAAATACATTGACTGTTTCATTTTATTTACATTTAAATATACTCAACTCCCAGCAGGAATCTCATTCCAAGTAAAAGAAATGAAAATTGACAAATGGAGTGTTTGTTCCAACTGCTACTACTCAGGTGCTATTACTTAGCAAAAGCATACTGTGAAAAAACTGTTATTCAACTTAATTCACATATGTGGGTCCAAATATAAAATTCTTTTGAGTTTCACATTATATTACAGAGGTAAGAAAAAATGAAGCCTTCTGGAAAAATCCTCTGGAACCAATCAAGTCCCTTGTGAGTGGGAGAAGGTAGGGTTCATTCTCTTTAAGAAAAGTTGGGTGGACAGAATCATTTGTAAAAGTGTACTGTATCTGGGTAGAAGAATGAATATGATAATGCTTTCAGAAAGATTAATTCCAGTTTACTCTCCAAAGTGAGGTTCAATAATAAAGTTAACATCTTATATTTATTTAAAGATTTTATAATATGATAATATTAAATGCATACATATGACATAAATAAACTATAGAAAAAACTGCCTTAAGGAAAGATCAGATTCTTTTAAACGCAGCTCAAGCAATCCTATACCAAGCCTCTTAGAAAAAGACAGATTTAAACAAAAAAAAATCCATACTGGACATTATCTTTTTCAATTCCTGTCTGCTCCTATTAGACAATTTAAAAGCCAGAAAATAGCTAAGCAAGATGTATAGCAGCAGTTCATTATTGACAATACCTCTTTGATATATCTTTCATGATTCACGTATTTATTCATAGCCTCCACTCAGAACATTCACTTAAAGTCATAAACAGATGGTTAAATGTCTTTAAAGCTCAGAACAAGAATTCCAGAAGCAGACAACCCTAATGCTAACATCCACTGGCTCATAAGACAGAAGAATAAATACACCATTTGCTCCTATGTATGGCTAATGTGTACACAAGAAGATTTATATGTGCTAAGGAACAGAATGTCTTGGACCAAAGTACACAATGTGCTTCTACAAACAGGAAAACTGGTATATGCTGTCGAGCCAGCTTACATGTGACAGTGAGACAAGGTGGCACAACAGTTCACAGTGAAAAGCCATCCTTGTTTCCGCAGGGCCACATCTACATAGCCAAAGGGAATGGTGCCAGACACTCCTGAGTCCGAATCCATGGACATTCCTCCTGCAACATGAAGCCAAAGGGTTCACCTAAAGTTAGTCAGGCAGTCTTCCTGCCTGAGGAAATTAACTGAAGAGTGTTTTAAAGAAAAAATACTGTCCTCATAACTAAAAGACTCCCAAGTCTTTGGGATCTCTCTATTCTTTCCCTCCCCACAAGCCACTGCCTCAGTTTCAGCCACCCTTATTTCTTGCAAGGATTCCTGCGGCAGCCTCTTCTCACCTTCTGCTTCCTCATTATCTGCACTCCAGTCTATAGGCCTTCCTATGTCACAGACCTAAGGCTCTACACAAGCCTTTAAAGCCTCTCATCCTCTTAAAATATAGTCAATCCTTCAGCCCAACAGACAAACTTCTCCCACCTCCTTTGTCACCAATGGTAGATCCAGCTGTGAGACCCAGCCCCAACAAACTTCTTTTTATTCCTGACTCCATGAGCTCCTCAACCTCACCAGTACTGCCTCCACACACGAGGCTGGAGGCCCATGTACATTATCCCTCCAGTGTGCAAAGGACCAGCCACACAGGACCTCCTCCATGTCCTTCTTAACCAAAGCACCCTTGGCATCCTGGCTCTGGATTATTTATTCAATGTACATCCATCCCCTGTAGCTAATTTACCACTTACCATTCAAGAAACTCTAGTCATTGTCTTATTTTGAGTGTCAATGCTAAACCTTGAAAAAGAGCTGTAGGTTTATAGAGATCTGATTCTGAGAGTGGAAGAACTACCAGGAAATATCACATACTAATAGTTTTAAGCTGGGAATCTCAGATGCCAGGCCTAAGGCTAGACTGTACAAGAGGAGGGCATCAGGAAAGGATAGGCAGAATCCCAATGTGTGACTTCCACAAGAGGCTTCCTTGGCCTCTGTGGCCTCATGTGCCTTCTTACGTGGGCCTCTTTTCTATTCTTACATTTATACGACTCTCCTCCTTCTTCAATCAAATATATTTCTTGTCATAACTCTTAGGTGAATCAATAAGCTACTATTCTCTGCCTTTTAACAAACAAGGTAAATGAGCTAAGGAGTACAGTAGCCTTTGGGAAGTTGTAAATGTAAAATATGAGAAATATAAATGTTACACCTTGAAGAATATCACCATTGTGACTTTAACTAAGCATCACTATTGCACAATACTGTGAAATTTGTGAAATCATGTAATCACTTAATCACAATAAAGAATTTGCAAAAAAATCACCATTCTATGTGGAATATATATATATATATATATATAAATATATATATAATGGAATTCTATGCTTCCATCAGAAAGAATGACACTGCCCCATTTGTTAGGAAATGGAAAGACTTGGAAAAAAACATAATGAAGTAAGCCAGACCCATATAGGTCCCATGGTTCCCCTTATTTGCAATAATTACATCTAGGACAATAAATACATCTAGGACAATCTTAGAGATGAGCAGAAAAGCTCAAAAGCTATGTACATATAACCATGTAAGATGATGCTAAACGAAATGAACCCCAAGATATGGATACAAGAGATTTTTCTTTGCTGTTGTTGTTTTTAACAACAATTATGTGATATATTTTTTCCTTCTGTATGTTCTTCCCCCTATGGTATATCCCTGTTGTCACTGTATTTGATTTTGGTATCTTGCATCTTTATCTTATTTGAGGAGGGAAAGGAAAATAACAAAATGCTGAAACAGAGACACAGGATGACCCATTGCAAAATGAGACTCACAAGACACTATGTTGGAAATGAATTTTACAACTTCAGTGGATAGGGGTAGGGGAAGTGGGGGAGGGAGGGGATAGTAGGAGAAAAACAGAGGAAGGGTAACAATGATTGACAAGAAATATACTCATTATCTTACTCATGTAACTGTAACCCCTCTGTACAGCATCTCTACAATAAAATATTTTTTAAAAAAGAAGAATATCACCAATCCAGTAGGATAAGATAAAATAGACAACTGAACAACATGTAAAATAGAATGCTATGCTGCCTATGTGGAGGCAGTAGAGCTTCAACTATACAATGGTGAAAGACTGTAACCAAAGTAGGCCTTGGATCCAGCCTTGAAAATGAGGTGAAGATTTGGACAGGCAATTCTTACAGGAAACAGATTCCAGACAAAGACACAGCATCAGCAAAGGACAAGTGTGGAGCCAGGAAGAAAAACTGTCTGACAGCTGCAAGGGTCAAAAACTCAAATATCTACAGGGGTCAGGAGGGAAGAAGGTATGGAGCTCATTTTCAGTCCCTTCACACCCAGGTCTAAAGCAGCTACTGTCACTCAGCTGAAATAGAAGCCTGCCCCAGAGGAAATGTGGACCTGGGGCTGC